TTGAGAAAATGAAGGCAATGTACAGCTTAATGATGCTTCTAACGGTTCCAACAGAGACATGGGCAAGAAGTTGATGCTAAAAGTAAAGAAGGTGAAGAAGTCAATACCATTGATATGTCAGTTAATGAAGAATAAAAACCAGATGTTGAAGAAGCAAATTCGAACGCCATCTTAAACGCATTTTCTGGGCGGTCAGCGGTCAGCGAGCGGCATCTCGTCGACAGGGCAGGGTTCATCTCTGCTGGAATGGTCTTGAGCTGATCTCCAAGACTCGGAATCAAAGGCAGTTTACTTGAGAAGGCTTGGCAGATATAGCTTTCTTCAGATGGCTCACTCGTGTGTAGGAGCAACAAAACCCTGTTGGGAGGCGCAGTCTAAAGTGAATTTGTTCGACTTGCGAAGAAGGGAGAGTTCACTCCCATGCATATGCCGAGAAAAACACTTGCAAACGACTTTTCAAGAACTGGGTCCTGTGCATCTTGGAGAAAAAGCAGAGCTCTGGTCAAAATGTGTTGGGGAGGCTGCCAGACGGCTCAATATGGCATCATTCACAAGCACCCTCCGACACCAGAAGCTTTTGCTCACCAGAGTGATGAGACTTGACAGCCGCATCTCATGCAGCCAAGGGAGGGCCAACTTGCAGGGTCAACCCTGACAGCCGCATCTCATGCAGCCAAGGGAGGGCCAGCCAACTTGCAGGGTCAATCCTATCGAGCGTATCCAATGGTCATCAGAGTTGCAGGCCAACCACCTATTTTTAGCGTACACCAAATCCTCAGTATATGTTCAGCTAACGCGCATTTTCTTGGAGTGCGATCGGTTAGTGCTCTGCTGTTTGTTACTGGTGTTGTTGTTGTTGTTGTTGTTGTTGGTGTTGTTGTGTTGTGTTGTTGTGTTGTTGTGTTGGTGTTAAATGTCAGCTATTGTTGGAAATGTCATCATTTCTGTTTGGCGGGAAAGAAAGCGTTTTGTCGACAATTGGCCCTCCCCAAATGATGTTGCGAATCGATCGTCTCAATCATTTCCCCGCTACCCTTGACTTGAACCATGGACGCGTATCACAGGTTGTCTGCTTTCTTGACATCAGACAGATACGAATGGCTTGGTATGTGACCTGACGAGTTGCAGGCCACAAAATGTCAATGCTTTTGCTCACGCGTGTCTCTTGCAACGCAGTACAACAGCTGGATAGCAATCAAGTTTACTTTCAGAGTTACTCCAACGCGGCGCGTCGCGCCAGCGAGATCTTAGCAGCGATCGCCAGGATGGTCAACGAGCGCGCCCCCACAACCAGGTGGGAGGAAGTTGAACATGACTTCAACGGGGTTTGGACAACGGCACACCAGCTGAACAACCTCAAGCATGCGCTTGACCAGCTTCCGAGCATGTGCAGGGACATTGAAACCCTGAAAAATAGCATCGCAGATTTGACGGAGGCCAATCAGAGCCGCGCTGCCATTATTGAAAGCCACGCTGCCACCATCGCAGCCCTGACGGAGGACAATCAGCGCCGCGCTGCCACCATCGCAGATTTGACGGAGGCCAATCAGAGCCGCGCTGCCATTATTGAAAGCCACGCTGCCACCATCGCAGCCCTGACGGAGGACAATCAGCGCCGCGCTGCCACCATCGCAGATTTGACGGAGGCCAATCAGAGCCGCGCTGCCATTATTGAAAGCCACGCTGCCACCATCGCAGCCCTGACGGAGGACAATCAGCGCCGCGCTGCCACCATCGCAGATTTGACGGAGGACAATCAGCGCCACGCTGCCACCATCGCAGCCCTGACGGAGGCCAATGAGAGCCACGCTGCCGCCATCGAGAACTTGGAAACCCTTGTGAGCATCCCGATTCAGAAGCGGCAACGCTTGTCCGCGCGACTCTAATCCGTCGTGTGAGCTGGTCAGCCAGTGAAGATGTTAGCCGCCTGCAAGACCTTGGTGAATACATGAGCTGGGCTGTCCCCTTCATCATTCGCGATGGCGGATTTTACGGTCAAGTCCCAAAAGAAGGCGCTCCTCCTCGTACGATCGAGATCCACGGTATTGTCACGGAGCTTTCGCAAAACGCCCAGATCAACATTGCAGAGAAGTATCTTGCGTTTGTGGAGCACTTGCAGGGTCAGACTTCAAAAACACCAGGTGACTTCTTCAGCGCCATGGACGCCCTGCGCCTGGCTGGCAATCAAGCTGCACATCCAAGCGAGTATGACGACAAGAACTTGGCGGATCTTGTAAAGATGCTCGGCGACTGCTTTGCAGCTGCTCCCGACACCGAAAACTCCGAGGTGATTCTGTGTGGACTCGAGGCTTTTGATATCGCAGCGCAGTCACAATAATGGCTTGCCCACTCCTCGGTTGCGGGCTTGTTGCTTTGTTGACAATTGAAGCATGTCATCGACCGTTTCTGCCATCGTATTATTAATTTACATATTTGGTGGTGGTACCCAGCCAGTGGCCAAGTCACCGATTTACAGCGTTAGCTCGTCCACTTGAACCGCCACAAAATCTCAATCCACGGCGGCTGGCTTTGGTGCCGAACGTGGCGTGTGTTGGCTTGGGACTTTAGAGACGGCACCATTCAATAAAGTCGCCAAGCCTGGTGCAGCGGTGTGTGGCCATCCTGCTGTGAGGTGCCGGCCCCGAGGACCACCACTGTCACCATTCAATGTGAGGCTGTGCCATCACCCACGTCGTTCTGGGCTTTCGCTTTCACGTTGTCGTGCTCCATCTGAATCCGATTGAAACTTTCATAGTTGTGAGCACACTGCGAAAAGAAGATGTTAGGCGTTGGCGGTGAGTCCGTGAAGAAGCATCTCTGCATTGGTTCGGTGAAGGGTGGATGTTAGCGTCAAATCCGTGCTTCCACGCATTTGAGCACTCCCACTGCTTACGCGCTTCCTCGCAACCCAAAACTGGCCTCCAGACGTCTTGGAGCCTGACAGTGGGTCGCCGTTTGACAAAGCCAAATTCTTTTTTGCAGGAGGCCACCACTATGGGGCTGCTGGCTGTTGAACACTAAAATGGAAAGAAAAGCGTGGAAAGTGGGGGTACTCAATCATGTGAAAACGCACACAAAAAGGTCATCAGTAAGATACCATAGGTGGTGTATCAAGTGCCAGACAACACACTGCCAGAGACGGAGACAACGTGCTGCGCCCAGCCTTTTCCGTTTGATTTGTTCAGCTCTCCTCATCGGGGGGCACATCCTCAACACGACCTCATACTGTGCCTCTTCGGCTTGCCCCCCGCCCCCCTCCCTTCGTGCGTGCGTGCACACACACACACACACACACACACACACACACACACACACACCACCGGACCCGCTTACATGTGTCTCGTGCCATAGAGACTTGACGGAGAAACGGTGCGTCATCCAGAGAGATGATGCCTTAAAGAAACCACATAAGAAAGAAAACAAACACGAAAGAGAGAAGAGAAGAATTTGGTGTTGAGAGTCAGAGATCGTGAAGGTTTCTAAAGGACCGAGGGAACGCAAGAGCAAAGCCTTGGTCCCGACAGATGAACCGATACAGACAAGGTTTGTCTTCGAGGCAACCGACAGAGCACAGATAGACAGAGCACAGACAGAGCACAGCCAGAGCACATAGGAAGCGAGAGCAAGCAAAAGCGCACAGAGGCAATGGTGCACATTGTGGAATCTGGATGATAAATTTGAAGCAACGCGAGGCGTCACCTCGCGGCGGACGACGCGAAGCGAATAATAATAATCATGTTCCGAAAGCCAAGGAAGCAGCCATCAAAACACACACCTACACAGTCATCACAACAGGAAAAACAGGAGGACGCGGTGCCGTTCTCCGGAAGGCATTGCACGGTGCGTCGGCAACCGCTAGCATGATCAACCCAAACACGTCAAGACTT